TTTGTTTATCCACGAATTGTGCGATCCATCGAATCCCAACCACTTGACGTAAACCTTATCTCCTTTCCTGCGCAGTACTTTCTTCACGAGATACACGTCCGGATGAGTCGCACGATGCAACTCGTGCTCGTAGAACGCTTCAGCGACAATCCTCGCTTTTCCGCGATAGTCCTCGAGCAGATAGGTTACGGGATTAGTATGCAGCACTTTAACGATCTTAAACACTTCAATAGTCCAATTTGACGTGTAACCTTTTTCGAAAACTGTCTTGTACTTGCTCACGCGTACCGAATCGCTTACTTTGAATTTTGCTGGACCTGCGATCTTTATTGCGTTGTACAACGTGTCCAAGAGTCTTTTGACGATCGCGGGAGTTACGTCAGCGGGTCGTATGCCAATAGTGCGATGCTTGCACGCGTTGTAATCTGACACGAGACGAGATAGCGCGTCGATCCACTTGTAAGTGTCGTTGAGCGTAATCTTCCACATGTCGTTCTTCAAGCGTGCGATTGAATCGCTCGACGATCGATGCCTTCAACACCGTATACGTGGAATAATGATTAACGTTATGTTTTTTCAAGAGTTTCTGCACATCGACGTTGTAAAACTCTTTTCCCATATCAGTTTGCAAGTTTCTCTGCATCTTCCGCTCTCTCGAATTATCTTAGCGAATTATCTTAGCATCTCGTTTCCGACCTTGCTCTTGAGCGATATGGCCCAGGCGTACTTGCTCAACGCATCGATGACGGTGAGTATGTAGTGATGATCTCTGTTGAAACTCGAGTACGGACGCATCTCGACGATATCAGCCTATCACAGATCGTCGTATCCCCGAATTACGACACGTCTTCGCGGAAAATTTCTCCTCGCCGGAGCATGCAATTCCTCAATGAGTCGTCGCCTCTCGGAGCTAACATTTTTTTCACGTCCATCGGATCTCATGTTTCGACGATGTTTAATAGTAAATAAGATATACAATTTAAAATTGTTTTTTTCCTCACTGACGTCAATCGACTGACTCGTTTCGTCGATACGCGATTAATTTATAATAATGCCGGCTTCGCGAAGTTTCTCAATGATTGATAGCATCTCGTGAGCGTTATTACCAGCTCGGAGCGAAACGTCGAGTAATAGGAGTCCACCAGCTCGTTGGTATCGTCCCAACGCACGTAATCGATCTTGTTATCATTTAATTTCATGTGGTGGATGGTATATTACCAATACCTGCACTCTTTTTACCGCCTTTCTTATATGTATTATAGATACGAGTGGAGCGATGATGTTAATGTACTTGTATCCCTTGTTGTCCATAATGGGATTATAGGCGCTGTGACAACGACTATGCATTCGTTGTTAACAGTATACTTTCATACGTTTGTTTGTCATCTTCGGTGAATATAGCCTCATCGGGAAGTCTTTTGAAGATCAATACGTATAATCCTAATGTACCATTGTATCTCACATTGTCTATGATTATGGAGTCACCTTTTCAACGTCAAATTTTTTGTCACCAAGCATCTTTTATCGAAATAGACACCGTACACATTATCGATCGCTTTATCTATGTCATCACCGAGAAGAAGGCGCACATATTTCGTTCTAATGATCCTAGCTGACCATGAAGCACCTCGCGGCTTCCTCTTTGCGTTTGCAGAGTCTGTTTGATGATTGTTTTCGATGACTGTTCACTGCTGACGTCTTTTGTCTCAAAAACATTTTCGTTTTGCACAAACAACGGTATTTTCGGTAGTTCCTTAGATAATTTTTTCGGCGATTCTTTCGACAGTTCTTTCGGTGTAGATTCGTATGTGAATGAATCTGACGTTCAATTGTTTTGTACGTAGATTTTTAGACGACGTTAACTTCAATCATCCAACATCTGTCCAATACGTATCTCTATTATAATGTTATCATCGCTGTCATCGCTATCTTCACGTTTTTTTTTCTTAATACCGATATCCTTTGCAACATTGATTTCTTTTTTAATCGGTTGAGATTCCTCTATGTTTTCAATAATCTGTTTTAGAGGTTCGGCGATGGGCTTGAAACGTCTCTTCAACGCTACATCTTCAGCTATCTTACCAGTTTTCAAAGCGCGATATTTTTTGCGAATCGAATCGCTCGTTTTCGCAATCTATTTCGCTATTTTCTTGCGATCTTTAATGTTATCTATGTTGCTTGCTTGACGTATCGACATCGACTAATCGCGTTACGGTACCGCAAACGTGTTAAATTCTTTTCTGTATCGTCCATTGATATGCGGACTGTCCTTATCTATCACTAGAAAGCCATACTTGTGCTGCCAAAAATTGCGGCATAACGCACAGAATTAATCGTACGACATGTCGGTATTCATGTGATCATTGTAAACATGTTTCAAGTTGATACTATCCTGTTTGAATAGGATCAGCAAGTTCGCATTGTCGCGTCAGATGTTTAGGTATCCTTGCGTACGTCTGACAGAGATAGAAGCAATCGATGTTCAAGTGGTGGCCCATCGAGAAGTATTCCCTCACCGCATTTTGCTTATCGCACGCAACATCATCGAAGACAAAGATCGAATTGAGATGTGCCTCGCTCGGTGGAATGACGTCACTGTTGTTGGAGAACATAAAGTAACCGATTTCGTCGATCGATATCAACAAAGTTTTGAGATATAGATATTTTGGTTATTGCAACGATTATGAATATACGTACACGTTCTCGAAACGTACATCGTGCGGATTCTCGAGCAAGTTATGAGAACGTTGGTTTTACCGCAATTCGACAGTCCGCAAATGATGGCGCGTATAGTACTCGGTAGTAACATTTCACCGTGCTTACGCTTCGTCGCGATGTCCCCCATTATTCGCGCTTTCTCGTCGCAGTTTGCGACGCGTATCGTCAGTGACTGCCGTATGAATTTCATGTTCGCACTGCGTTATCTAGGCTTCGATCGAACGCCTATTTAGGCGCGCGAAACCGCGAATCGCTCAGTTGCAAAAATCTATCTCGCACTGTCGCATCCCTCCGATATTCGGGAACGCTGAGCAGTTGCAATATATACCGAAGGTCATACTATTACGCGTGTGCGATTATATCGACCACGTGTGGGACAAGCTTCCGGAACATATAAAGATGGATTTGGAGGTTCGAACCTATTGTCGCTGCATCGAGCATTATAACCAACCGTGGCAACGTACATCGACGGTCCCGCACCGAAGATAAAAGATTGTAGCGTATGTCAACAGCAACATCAAACGAGGTCTGCTCAATCGAGTGATAAATGCGCTTCCTTTCGAGTTACATATCCCCGGCTATCAATTTTGCGGCCCGGGTACTCGGCTGAAGAAGCGATTAAATCCACTGGACGCGACGTGCCGTGAACACGACATTGCGTATTCTCAGAGCAACGATTTCGCCGATAGATACGCGGCGGACAAGCTTTACTCGCCGATAAAGCTCTAAGACGCGTCATCGCGAGAGATTCGGCTCTGAGCGAGAAAGCTGCAGCCATTTGGACAGCGATGTAAGCCAAGACCAAAATCGGCATGGGTATGAAGGCAAAGAAAAAAGCCGGCAAAAAAAGAAACGAATACTTCCAACGGCGAAATGAAGTAGTGTGTTATCGATTTTGCCAATTTTGGGTGCTCTCGGGTCCTTAATCGGTACAGCGGCCAGCATGGCGAAAGCGGTAAACGACAGGAAAGATGCGCGACGTCAGCTCGAGGAACTGCAACGTCACACTCGCATGATGGAAACGCGCAGACGAAGACTATATCTCGCTCCAAACACGCTACAAACACGAACGAGGTGTAACAGTGAAAAAAGGAAAAAAGAAAAAAAAACGCCAAAGAAACAATAAAAGTACCTACGAGTGTAATTATCAATGTGCAATTGGACAGCTGGCGAGACGTATGCGCGTACTGTACTTCAGAGATGTTTTCATGCGTATCGATTAGCGGCGCGCGTCGAAAGGAGAGTGGTAAATCTGGATGACGCGATGGGTTCCGGTACTCATTGGGTAGTGTACGCAAAGAGAAATGATCGCGTCGTGTACTTCGACTTCGAGTTTCGGTAATCGATCTTCGATCATCTAAGGAATTAGTGCAATATTTCGGAGACAGTGTTACGACGATAGAGTACAATCGAATGTTCTATCAAACATACGATCAGAACGTCTGCGGACTGCTGTGTCGGTGATTTCTCCAAATGGTCAACGAACGTGAATTTATAAAGTCCGACAAAATATCGCGACGTCTCAGTATTCGTTGAACGCTTTTTCCAACACGTCGCTAATGCTTACGCTGAGCGGGAAGAGCAGCGTTCTTGCGACAAACTACTTTCCAGCCATAGATTTGAGCGACGATGACTACGAGCTTGGTCTAACAATTTTGGAGACTTATCACACGATACCGAATGTAAACGCTTTGAACAATATATTTTATTTTGGCAAAGACGACGCAGAAGTTATTCCAGAGGGATCGTAACTGCAGGCCATAAATAAATTTTTGAGACGTGAGATTTTACAAAAACGACCGCGACGCGACGCGCCCGATGGTAACATTGATAACACCACGCGCGGCGATGACGAGATTGGGGAATACCCGATAATGCTCCGTGCAAATTACAACACGAGGTGTGAGATTAAATGCGCCTACAGAATAAACTTTAACAAGTCTAACATTGGATCGCTACGCTTTCTCGAAGCGTATAGAACAACCGCGAAGGTGGCATGAATCGGACGTGTCGATCAACATAATGAACGTAAACATTATCCGTGTAGAGTGCACCGTGACCGCGGGCGCGTATAGCAATGACGAAAGTGCACACAATACACGAATTTTCGCCGAGCGTGCCGCTAGGATATAAGATATCGAAAACACCGATGCAGATCATTTACCTGCCAGGCATCGTACGGAGCATTACGGAGTTAACGATACGCATTGTTGACTAGAACGCTCGATTTCAGAGGAGAAGAGATCACCGTCAGATAGCATGTACGGCGACAGCGATAACGCGAGCGTGACATTTAAGATGCTGGTGTTGAACGAAGCGAAGCATACGCAGAGAGATAACGCATCTTTTACAAAGAAAACATTGATCGACAATACTCGCTCATCTGGCTGCATCAAGAAGAAGAAGAAACTCAACGCGTCGAACGTTAAATTTTTACAAGTTTTAGGATTCGCGATGCGCAACTTGTGAGATGACTGATATCCTAAACATCGAAGACGAGTCAATCTTCGACGATCGCATCGTCAAGATTGAGACTCATACGTACAATCCGTTTGCCAATATAACATTCGTACAGCGATGAGATAAGAATACCCATACAGCAACAGGATCAGTACACATTGCCGAAAACTTTCTATATGTCGAGGGAAAACTAACGAAGAACAGAATTGTCGAAGGATCTGATGTGGTGTTGGGAAATAATTTTGTCGCGTTCATATTCGATGAGATTCGATACGAGCTTGATGGTGTGAGGATTGATCGTAACAAAAACGTGGGCATAACTAGCACGCTCAAACACTACGTAACAACATCATCTGACAGAAGCGTGATTCTGAGGAATGCCGGCTGGGATGCGCGTACTAACGCGGATATTTTAACTTTTGCGTATCTCTCTATGAACCTTTGGGATTCTGCGAGGATTACAGATGCGTGGTAATCAACGCTTATTACGAGTTGATCTTGATACGATCGCGTAACGACAACAACTGATGGGAAATTCAGCGTTGGATCCCGTAATCGACTTATTCAAGATACAATGCCGCACGTGTTATTGAGCGAGATAAAAAACTATCGATGCTGCGCACTTTAGAGAGCAGACGATATTTGAGCATGGCTTTCACTTGTGGGATCTATACGAATTTCCGCTGTTATAGCGTACAACCAAGCATTCGTGGGCCATCAAGACCGCTACTCAGCTCGAGAAGCCGCGATACGTCGTCTTCACTTTGCAAACGGGCCGAAAGAACGTCATGGCCGAGAACACGAGCCGATTCGACGATTGCAACTTAACCAACCGTGAAACTCTATCTGAACTCAAAATGTTATCCGTACGACGATATGAATCTGGATTTTGACAAAAACAAATGGTCCGTATTGTATGAAACGTACGCGCATTTCTGCAAGGATTATTACAGATACGAGTATCTCGAGCCGAGTCTTACCGTCACGTCTTTTCTACATAATGGCCCATTTATAATCATCGATTGTTCTCGACAAAATGAATCGGTCAAGAGCGCAACCGTAGACGTGAGATTGGAATTTGACTAAGGAGCACGTACCGATGAACCACCGCGTACTGTCTCATTATACATGATCGTGTGGTTCAGTACAATCCGTTGACCAATGTTGTACATAAGATCATCTAAGAGCATAGTATGAGAGACACTAAAATCTATGAT